TAAGTTAGAGTAAAACGGTGCATGGATGCATGCAGCGATAGCGCTACTCGCTAGGTTTGGGAATAATATCTAGAATACTTTTAGTGGAAACTCTTGTGTCAGAAAGATGTCCCATCTTTTCCGATAGGTTATGAAGATGTCCCACCTTTTCTTAACCAGTGGAAGCTTAAAAGGAGTCTTATATTATTCTTTGCCTCACAACGCAGGCGCGGGCGTAGATTCCGTAGATTAGCTATAACACAATGGTGTCAATGCAGCTATTGTTTTTGGAATAATATATACATTTGATATATACGTTGGTGAAAACGTTAGTACCAGATTCATGTGCGCACTAGGGCCTATAGGGAAAGGCGGTCTAATTATATAACTTTATAAGTCAGTTTCTTTATTATTAGCCATAGAAAACTTACGTCTTTGAAGCCGGACTTTTTATACTGCCAAGATCTGAAACGGCAAATATGTTCCGCGGTCTTGACATGGAATTATCGTGCTATTCTCTAAGATACCAAGAACGTTTTGTTTTACAACACACAAGTCTTAATATTATTACATATTATACGCAGCCTTATTACACATTGTACGCTATATAGTATAGCCTGGCCCTAGGTGACTTGTCAACAGTCAGCATTGTGACATATTTGTACACTTTTATTTTAATGCATAACAGAAAATTAACTTATTACTTGCTTGGTTTCACACTGCGTCTAAGCAACTGAACCTGGATTGATGACATGTTATAGTGGTAATTAATAATGCGATTAGCGTTGCTGGCTTCCTGAAGTTGCAAACTCAGTTTGCAGATCCCGCTGTTTTTCAAAACGTGCGGGTCGTCATGCGAAATCTACAACACTTGTCAATCATATTGCATGTTGTGTCTAAAAATAACATGTGGGCGTCCCACAGTCTAGACAGGTTTTGTGTCAGGGAAGTGCAACCTCGTTCCCAGGCTCTTACCTTCGCACGCCCCAAGCTGCGGAAAGACCCTGGTGCCGGCTGGTCACGTGGCTCCCAGATTTTGGGTGCTAAAATAAATTGCTATTCAGGGAGGAGTGGTAGAAATGATTTGTACGTATTGAAATTGTTTCTGAATTTGTAAAATAGTAAAACTCTAACTGTACGAGACAATAATAAAAGATTTTTTCTTGACGAAATGTTAATACAACAGATTGATCATGTGTTGCAGCCGAAAGAGTATCATATTACTCTCAAGGATTACAAATATCTCATATTTCACTGTCACTATATCGGCTTAGCAAAAGCACGCCAAAGAAATTTAACAAAAAAGATATCCTGGATCAACTGAAAATAGTTCTCGTTGTCGATTATATAATGGTGTACAAGATCAGATACATTGTAAGAATCTCTTCAACAAAACAAATTAAAGAATTTTGAATAACACGGAGTTGATTCATGGCGAGAGACTGCCGCATGTTGATGATTTTCCTTATTTGATCTGCCGATCGAGTGCCGTCCTTGTGAACGACGTTCAAGAATGTAATTTCCGAAACACAGAAATCATTAGTAAAAGATTCACGATCCAAGCGATGCCCTGAAGTTTTTCTATCCGTTGCCAGATCTTCGGCAAATGTTGCTGCAGTTGAAAGTCGAAGGCGCAGTTTGGCTTTTACACTGACTTTGTCAATGTGTCCTCCTCGAGTGATGAAACTAGATCTGCTACACCTTTACCCATGTCAACAGAAGTAAGTCAATTGTTTATGAATATCATCTACCAATATACTTTACCGCAATTAATAATATAGTCATCCGTATACGTATGTTAGTAATCCCCATTTAAACCCAAAATGTACAATCCAATTGTGATTTCTCCATGGAATATTTTTTGCGAATATTTATAGAATGGCAGACGCGCGAAGGCCACTTGATTTCAGTCGAGATATTTGATCTTGTATCAGTGAATTCAAGGGAGACACAACTATAACAATACACGAACCGTCCTGAGTAGATATCTCAAATGATTTCCATGGAGAAAGAAAATCGACTTGTTTATTAAATATGATCCCTTGCAAACATCAACAATGGGTCAGATGAAAATCAGAGACTTTCCATATAAAGCGTTGGCAGGATACAAATTATAAATAACATCTTTTGTCGAATAAATAATATATGTTTAAGTACATTTAAGAGTTTGTTAAGGCCCGTTTACACGGGCAAATTGAATGTCAAAGATATTTTGCTCGTGTAGATGATAAATTTGTGACAAATTTATTGTGACAAATGCATTTAATTTGAACAAAAGCTAGCAAGCTAGCATGCTAGCTTTTGATCAAATGCATTTGATCAAATAAAATTTGTCAAAATAAAATTTGCTCGTGTGCTTTACGACAGTATTATTTGAAAGCCCTGCACAGTTGTTTTGATGCAGGACCCAAGAACACGGAGATCTGTATGTTTAAATTGCAACTCTTGTCGAAGTTTGAACACAATGTTATCAATCGTGTAATTTAACCTGGCGAAATTGAATAAATAAATAAATACTTTCCAAACAAAGAACTTGCTTAGTTTTGGTTCGGCTTCAGTACAGTATGTTGTTATGAAATGCGCTATTTAGAACAACGAATTCCAAACAAGCAAGAAATGCAATGAAACTCGAGCATCCTCGAGCATCTTCGTTCGAGTTTCCGTTGAAATTATCAACTTTGCTTCTATGGCCTGGCAGCATGTGAATGACAAAAAGAACACAAACGCGCGCATAATTGTCAATTTGACAAGAAGTATTCCTCGAAGTATTCAATACAAATTATACAATGACAAATTGCGATATAAAGTGCTCTCAAATTACACTTTTTGCAATTCAAACCAATACGTCCGCTCCTTGCCAACGAATTTTACTATTGCAAAGTGGAAGCATTGTAATTTAGATTTGTCCATCCCTCCCTTGGTAATTTAATATCCTGGGAGCCACGTGACCAGCCGGCACCAGGGTCTTTCCGCAGCTTGGGGCGTGCGAAGGTAAGAGCCTGGGAACGAGGTTGAGGGAAGTGTTGCTTGATATTTTTAACTCTGACGAAGTCAATGATCGTTTAGACACTTTACTCAATCCTTCAAACGATAATGATTTAGACATCAACTCCTTAGTTAACGACTTCACAGAAATTATTACCAAAGCATCTAGAAAATGTATCCTCTCAAGAAACAGAAAAAAAAATCTAGTAAAACGAGAGTAACACAAAAACAGAAATGGTTTGATAATAATTGCTACCGACTTAAAAGAGAACTACGGAATTTAGGAAAAATAATATCAACACAGCCGAATGAACCCTTTATAAGGCACATGTTCTTTACTAAGAAAAAAGAATATAAAAAATTAATAAGGAAACTCAAAAGAAAGTTTCATAGTGAGACTCTGAATAAAATTAAATCCATAGCAGATAGCAACCCCAAAGAATTTTGGAATCTTGTTAACAAAATCAAATCGAGTCACTCCAATTGTTCTAATACAATATCGCATGATGAATGGTTTCACTTTTTCCTCCGGGACCTCAATAAAATTAATTTTTCCTCGGACGAAACTCGTGTTGAGGCTCGAATAGTAAAAGATTTTCGTCTCTGGGCAAACACTAGCGATGAAATTCTTGACAAACCTATCTCATTACAAGAAATTTACAACATTTCTAGAAAACTCAAACATAACAAGGCTAGCTCTAGCGACTTGCTAAACAACGAAATTATCAAAACTTCAATCACTAGTTTAGCACCTTACTATGTGAAACTTTTTAACACAATTTTATCTAGTGGTGTTTTTCCAAGAATTTGGTCGGAAGGATTTATAACTCCTATACATAAATCAGGAAGTAAAACTGAGCCTGGAAATTACAGAGGTATATGTATTTCTAGCTGTTTAGGGAAATTTTTTACTCTAATTCTAAACACGCGTTTAAACAATTTTCTAGAGGAAAACAATATTTTGAATAATTACCAGATTGGTTTTAGACACGGATTTCGAACATCTGATCATCTGCTTGTTCTTAAAACATTAATAGACTCTTATAAATCAAGTCGGAAACCCATTTTTACATGTTTCATTGATTTCAGAAAAGCATATGATAGTGTTTGGCGAGAAGGCCTATTTTTCAAATTGATAAAATATGGATGTAGCAAAAAATTTGTTGCAATCTTGCTAAATATGTATTCTTCTGTTAAATCGGCGGTTAAATTAGAACAAGGTGTAACCCCGTTCTTTCAATCTCATATTGGAGTGAAACAAGGATGTAATCTGAGTCCAACACTGTTTAATATCTTCATTAATGATATACCTAATCTGTTTAATTCTCATTGTGATCCTGTAAAACTCGATGACACTGAGTTAAGTCGTCTACTATACGCTGACGACTTGGTAATTCGCAGGACGAAAAGCGCGTCATTAATGACCTTTAATAAAACCACTAAAGATATTAAATGTGTGTTTACACCTTTAATATATTGATTAAAGTTTGTTAAATAAGAAATTACATTTAATCGCATTTAATAAGACTAAAAGACGTGTTTTGTATTACCTATAGATTTAGTTATATTTAGTCCAGCTTTTAAAGCTGCAAAAACCGACTTTAAACTATACTTGCTTTAGTCACTTTTAATCCATGTTGCAAATTTGATTAAAGCTGCCATGAGATTTAATCGCCTTTAATTTGAAGTTTAAGGAAGTGTAAAGGCGAAGGTTAACATTAATTGTTTTTATTGCGGCAATGTTAAAGGGGATTAAAGGCAAACTTATTTGCAGTCATAGCAACCGCGAGACATGATGATATTCGACGCATTTGTCACAGCTATAGACAAACACTATAATACTACACGTGTACGTTCTACGCAATTCACCGTAATTCTCGCCGTTTAGAAGTAAGACGCTCTTGTATACTAACAATTTATTGTGTTACAACGCTTGCTAAATATTTAAAATTATTGGCGATATGAATAGCGTTGGGAATTACGTTTTTTGCCATCACTGCAAGCAAAGTGTTTCAGAAAAAACATTCCGGCGTCATATGGCTTTGGATCAATCTCACCAACTCAAGCGAAGCTTAAATGATGGTTCTTCTACATCTTCGTCCGATACAGATGAAGAAACAGTTGCGACTTTTAACAGTTGCGACTTCGGAGGTTTGTAAATTCCTTGAAACATACCTTTTCCAAACGTAAAATTAGTTAATAATATACAAGACCGATACAAATAATTTCATGAATCAAAAGCCGGAAAGGCAAGATACTGTAAGCAGTGAATTGTTCCGGCATCATATGCTAGTATAGTTTGTCTTATGAGCATATAAACTTTCTTCTAGGTGTGTCCGCTGCGTCTTGTGATATAATAAAGACTAATTCTGACACAAATATGCCAGAAAATTCAGGAGATGACCATGTAAGTATCTTACATTGAAAAGCTGACTCGACAATCAGAAGCTAAAAATTCATTTGTAATTTACGATAATTTTCTGCAGTACAGTTTGTTTAATAGTTAATATAGAAAACAAACTGATGTAAATCAATAAGACCAACAATCAGATATAAGTGTGAACTTTCAAATATATACGCTTATATTTATGCCATCCCATTATGGAACCAACTCATATTCATACCTGTTCAATGCCCCCAACTCAAACCTAATTGTACAGAAAATGCTACCCCCGACGATCTAGAGCTCTGGAAATCTCAACACCCCCCCTCCTTATGTACGAATATCTTCACGAAAACGTTTGCAATTGCTCGCCATCACAACAACCCAAGTAAATATATTATACTTATTGTATTTTTATGATTTATGATAAAAATACGCAAATATTTATTGTTTTTTATCCGCATAAATCATAAAAATAAAATAAATGTATTAAGTTGGGTTGCTGTGGTGGCAAACAAACGTTTCGTGAAAATATTTGACCCCCCCTGTCATTTTCGCGAAGATTGCATGTTACTTTCAAATTATTTGTGAAAATATATAATGTATTATAATAATAAAGTGTATTACATTTATAGAAAACAATGATAACCCTTATGAAATCTACAATAATTATACTAAATTAAGCATAGTTTTTCAAGCCATGATAATTTTTAGGAAATAAGAAAATTGAATTTCTAGGCATATTAGTTATTTTCTTTTCTTGCAAAATATTATACTCGGACAAATTTTTCCTTGCAATAACCACCAGTAAAAGCAATTCTTCTAAATACTATAAGCACTTCAGAACAGCTGTTGCTTTTGATTTTCGGAGTTAGTATCAGCTCACTGTCATGGTCATTTTACCCTAAAACAGTTGAGATTATACCTGTGCTAAATGAAACGCATACAAACTCTTGTATATACAGACCCTAGACTAAGTTTAGTTTCTACACGTAAGGTGGAATTTTAAAGTTTTTCTTGTTATTTTACAGTTTTGAACATTAACGCCAGCGCGAACATGCGAAGATGAACATATGCAAGTAATTCTTCTTACTATTCATTTTTTTAGGACAGTGACAGTGACATAAATTCCAATTGTGGTCATGATCAGGCAAATGATGAACTGCTAGAAGACGTCAGTACTGAATTGTCGGAAGACGAAAGTAGTGATGATGAAATTTGGCCGGAGGTGTCAGAGCAACTACTGGATCAAGACATCACTTCGAAGAAACCTCTTCCAGATCCCGTACCGAAGCGAAGAAAGGTACAGGTCGCTAACTCCATTCTTCAATGGTTGTTATATTTCATTCTCATTTGGCAAGGAGTTTGTCACTTGAGTGACAATGGGCTTGCATGGTTA